TTCTCATGAATGAAATAGCTTGTGTACAGGATGATGAGCTATTCATTAAACATAATCATTGTGCAGGGAAGTAGCAGGGGTGGTGTTCTGTTCAGAGTTTGTATCAAAATACCCATTCTCTTAGGCTTAGTGTTCTCAGCAAATGACTATATTTATAACATAAAATGTGAAGTTGTTTTGTAATTGGAAAAGGGGACAAAAACATGTACTGCCATTAGGAAATATCCTTTCGTGTTCAGCTCTGTCATAATTTTTTTTTAGCTCAGTTAATCTAACTGTATAAAATCTTTGTAAATTACGACAACTGTACCTTCTATTTCAAGTGGTGGAATGGTGCAGCTTATTTGGATGCAGTTATAAATCAGGCACATGCAACAACCAAGTCCAAATGCATTTCTCATCACAGGTTTCTTAATTTAGTAAGAACATTATTTTTACCAATATAAGTAATTTTACCTTCAGTGTTGCACTTGTCAACTGAATTCAATATTAATCACAAAAATGTCAAATGCTTAAACTACCAGAGTGAATTTCCAAAAGACTTTTGATTTCATGAATTAAATGAAAAAAATTAAATCATGATTTTCTATTTGAATCCCCTGATGGCATCATTTAACTGTTGACTTCTCTTAATGGAGCCAACACATTAACAACCGTTGCTTCACTTTTCATGTGTGCATAAAAAAACTTGGAGAAAGTAATGAGTATAATTAACTTAGAAGAACCGTCTTTTGATCTAAATGAAGTCATGCTTCATAGAGTAATATGTAGCCTCACCTTTTGTAGCCCTCATTTTAATCATTATCTTTTAGCACCATCTTCTTAATGTAGCTATTAACTTTTGAAGTAGATGCTGATGGTTCTTGTGATTGGCAATCTGTGTCTTCTGATTTCCAGCTAATCAAGCTTTTCCTAGGCTGCTGGCATGAGACTGCACTTTGCTTTATCACTGAGTGCCCCTCATGCTGTTCTCAAAAAGCAGGGTTAGCTACACTGTCACCAAGTGCTAAAAAAAAAGCATTTTGCTCACTACACATATATCTCACAGCCTGTAAGGTGAGAGCATGGCAGAAGCTGCAAGTACAAAGTGGAGGTTTACTAAATCCACCCCAGCTTCATTTAATGCAATATTGACAATAATACTCTGTTAAAACAACAACAAAAAGGACAAATACCCAAACAAACAAAACATGAGGACAACAGGTATAACCCGAGACTGTTCCTGTGAAACCAAGGCATAGGCTGATCCATAGCTGATGATAAGGATGCCAGCTCTGTGGATTAACAAGTGGGAGGGACCAAAGGAATCCCAGAGGTAGGGGTTGGCCTTGGAGAGGCAAGAGAAATTCTACAATACCGGATAAGAAAAAGTGTCAGTAGGTCCACAGCACCTGGGAAAGCCAGAGATCAGTGACAGACAACGTGCAGCAAGATTCATTCAACGCTTAGCAATTTCCTGTTGTTTGCCAAGCATCAGATATGACAATCAGTACTATTTATTCAGCATCATTACATAACAAACACTTTATCTTATTTAATCTCCACAAAAGAGTGCAAGGTAAGTATTGCTACTTCTGGTTTATAGGGGATAAAACTGAGTCCAGGAGGGGCCAACTGACTTGCCCAATTCCTGGCCACTCCCTCCTGTTCTGGGCATTTCTCCTCTGCCTCTCCCCATGTCTCTGCCTACATGAGGAGTAGATGGGAATGGTGACCTCCCATGTTAAAGGTATTAAAATCTGTGTGACTGTCTCTCCCACAGAGGTCTGATCATCGTTTTCTCCTCCCGTCAATTCTCCTCCCTTTCCAAATGACCCCTCCAAAAACACATCCTTGTTTAACTAAACCCATTTCCCCTACTGGCAAAAGAGAGGAAATGGGTTTTGATTGTGTTGCAAAAACGTCAGGGGTCCACAGCACACTTTGCATCTGATTCAATTTTATGTTTTATCATTTTATATTACTAGAGAGACTTTGTTTTTACTTTTTTAATTTAAAAAGAAAGAGGTTTATTTTGCTCATGACTGATGGCTGGAAAGTTCAAGGCTAGGCATCTGCATCTGGTGAGGGCCTCAGGCTGCTTCCACTCATGGCAGAAGGTGAAGGGGAGCTGGCGTGTGCAGAGATCACATGGCAAGAAAGGAAGCAACAGAGAGAACAGGGGAGATGCCAGCCTCTTTTGAACCACCAGCTCTTGTAAGAACCAAAATAATAAGGAATCACTTACTATGCCCACCCCCTGCCCTCCGCAGGGAGGGTATTAATCTATTCATGAGGGATCAGCCCTCATGATCCAAACACCTTCCATTAGGCCCTACCTCCAATATTGGGGATTGTATTAGTCTGTTCTCACACTGCTAATAAAGACATACCCAAGACTGGGTAATTTATAAAGGAAAGGAGGTTTAATGGACTTACAGTTTCACATGAGTGGGGAGGACTCACAATCATGGCAAAAGGCAAAGGAGACACAAAATCATGTCTTACATGGCGGCAGGCAAGAGAGCTTGTGCAGGGGAACTCTCATTTATAAAACCATCAGATCTCACGAGACTTATTCACTACCACAAGAACAGTATGGGGAAACTGACCCCATGATTCAATTCTCTCCACCTGACCCCACCCTTGACATGTGGGGGTTATTACAATTCAAGGTGAGCTTTGGGTGGGGATGCAGCCAAACCATACCAGGGATCAAATTTCAACAAGAGGTTTGTAGTGGACAAACATCTAAACCATAGCAAGTAATCGATACACCTATCAATAACCAATAAGCATTTAAAAAGTTTCTTACTCCCTAGTAAATAAACATGGCAAATTAAAACAATAAAATGTAATTTTCTATCCATCAAATTGAGAACTTAAAAAGTGAGAATTCCTCAAACTGGAGAAAGTACAAGGAACCAGACTCCCATTATCTGCTGGCAGGAGTGTAAACTGTTGCAACTTTTCCTTCACAGAAATACCTAAAAATGTTTCTATCTGTACTATTAAGAATCAGATGACAGGTTCAGAACAGTGCATATGATTTGCTCTCATTTAGAAAACTTACCACTGGTCACCTCTGGAGAGTGGGACTGAGGGTCTAAGTAGAGACGGAGGTTTTGCTTTGTTCTGTTTTTGAGACGGAATCTCACTGTTGCCCAGGCTGGAGTGCAGTGGTGTGATTTTGGCTCACTGCAACCTCCACCTCCCAGGTTCAAGTGATTCTCCTGCCTCAGCCTCCTGAGTAGCTGGGATTTCAGGTATGTGCCACCACGCCTAGCTAATTTTTATATTTTTGGTAGATATGGGGTTTCACCATGTTGACCAGGCTGGTCTCAAACTCCTGACCTCAGGTGATCTGCCTGCCTCGGCCTCCGAAAGTGTTAGGTTTACAGGCATGAACCACCGCGCCTAGACAAGGGAGCTTTTTTAACCACACAATCTTAGGTGACTCTTTTTCTTACTATGTACATATATACTGTTTAAGTATCCAAATTTTAAAAACAATTTTTAATTTTAAAAATCTCAACTTGAGTTTATCTGAGATTTCAGCTCATAAACATTCACTGCAGAGTTATTTCTAGTATCAAAAAGATGCAAATTTCATATCCAACAATTTGGTATAAGTTGGAAAAAAATTAAATATTAAAAACCATATTGTCGAATATTTTGCACCATAGGCAAAAATTCAAATACAGTAAATGAAAACCCAATTATAGATTATATTTCAATCTCCAATTGTGTAAAAATAATATATGTACACATATATGGTCAGGTCTCACTCCGTCTTCCAGCCTGGAATGTAGTGGCATGATCATCGTTCACTATAGCCTCAAACTCCTAGGCTCAAGGATCCTCCCACCTCAGCCTCCCAAGTAGCTGGGACTACAGGTGCATGCCAGCATGCCCTGCTAAACTGTATGTTTTTGAAGAAACAGAGTCTCACTATTTTGCCCAGGTTGTGCTTGAGCTCCTGGCTTCAAGGAAGCCTTCTGCCCTGCTCACCCTGAAGATCTCAACTTAAAAGCCATATCCTGGCCAGGCACGGTGGCTCACGCCTGTAATCCCAGCACTTTGGGAGGCTGAGGCAGGCAGATCACGAGGTCAGGAGATCGAGACCATCCTGGCCAACACGGTGAAACCCCATCTCTACTAAAAATATGAAAAATTAGCCGGGCATGGTGGCACACGCCTGTAGTCCCAGCTACTGGGGAGGCTGAGACAGGAGAATTGCTTGAACCCTGGAGGCAGACGTTGCAGTGAGTGTAGATTGCGCCACTGCACTCCAGCCTGGGTGACAGAGCAAGACTCTGCAAAAAAAAAAAAAAAAAAAGCCATATCCTGGAGGAGGCAAATTAAGTCACATCTGCCAGGCAGGTATTCCCTTTTCTTACACCAGGTATCTCACATGATAATTACAAATACATTTGCCTCTCAGCCAACAAATATTTATTGAACCTTACTCTGTGCCAAGCAATGTAGTTGGTACTAGAAATTAGGGGGGAAAATTCTTGTTCTTGTGTAACTTGCACTCGAATAACTATAAGGTTACACCTGTGCTAAGTGCTAGGAACCAGTGTGTGGTAGTCCGAAAAACTCATGAAGAGGTAAATTGTACCACAGAAACTAGCAAGGATTGCCCTAATACAAGAAATCCTAAGGAGGGAAATCAACCAGACCAAAGAGGGCACCGTTACCCAAGGAACCACACATTCAAGAAGTAAAAGGCCAAAGAGGCTGTAGCAGAGACAAGGGGAGTGTCCTGGAAGATGCCAGGCCATGCCAGGCTGCCTGCACGTGAAGAACGTTGTTGGTCTGTTGTCTGGAAACAATGGGGTTATTACGCGCCGGGCAGAAGGAGGATCATACCAGATTAATAGGGACTTCTCCCCTCTGGGCTGAGAGTTTGTGTGTCTGTCTCATGCAGTGGCATCCCAGGAACCCAGAATAACACTGCACGTAATAGGTGCTCAGCAGGGTACCGGCCTAGGTGAACGGTGGGGGGCTGGCTTCTGATGGGCCACACAGGGACGCAGCTCCAGCGGCGGCCCAAATCCACGGCCCCCAAATTCCAGAGTGGCCTCAGCGGGGCAGGGAGGGAGTCCCATGGCTGCCCCGCAGACCACCCCTGCCCTCCAGGTCCCCATGCTGCTGCCAGCCTCCTGCCCAGGCTCGGACTCCCAGGGGCCTTGAGAAACCGAGAAGCGGCCTCCTCCCGGGTTGGCGACGTCGCAGGACCGGGACGCTGAACAAAGTCTCCCCACTCACCACTCATCTCCCGCGGTGGGCCGCACCAGACTCTGGAAGTGCCGAGACTTTGTTTCTTCAAGAGACAGGGTCTCTCTGTATTGTCCACGCTGTCCTTGAACTCCTGAGCTCAAGTGGTCCTCCCACCTCAGCCTCCCTGGTAGCCGGCACTACAGGTGCATGCCTTCATGCCTGGTTACCAGAGGGACTTACACACACACACACACCCCTACTGAACTACTTTTTAGAGTAGTTTTAGGTTCACAGTAAAATTGAACAGAAAGTACAGGGAGTTCCTATATACCCCCTTGGTGTTGCACACTCTATGAATGTATAATAACATGCATCTACCACTGCAATATTGTACAGAATAGTTTCACTGTCCTAAAAATCCGCATGCTCCACCTAGTCCAGGTGGCGCGAGCTGTCTTTCCTTCTTTCTTTCTTTTCTTTTTTTCTTTCTTTCTTTCTCTTTCTTTCTTTCCTTTTTCTTTCTTTTTTCTTTCCTTTCTTTCTTTCTTTCTCTTTCTTTTCTTTTCTTTCTTTCTTTTCCTTCCTTCCCTCCCTCCCTCCCTCTCCCCCTCTCCCCCTCTCTCTTTCTCTCTTTCTTTCTTTCTTTCACTCTGTCACCCAGTCTGGAATGCAGTGGCACGATCTCTGCTCACTGCAACCTCTGCCTCCCGGGTTTAAGTGTTTCTCCTGCCTTGGCCTCCTGAGTTGCTGGGATTACAGTTGCATGCCACCATGCTGTGTTAATTTTTGTATTTTTAATAGAGGCGGGGTTTCACCATGTTGGTCAGGCTGGTCTCGAACTCCTGACCTCGTGATCCACCTGCCTCGGCCTCCCAAAGTGCTGGGAATACAAGCGTGAACTACCGTGCCTGGCCCTAGCCTCTTTTCTTCCAACCCCTGACAACAATTCATCTTTTTCCTGTCTCCATAGTTTTGCCTTTCCCAGAATGTCTCATAGTTGGCATCATACAATATTTAGCCTTTTCAAATCTGCTTCTTTCATTCAGTAATATGCATTTAAGCTTCCTCTATGTCTTTCCATGGCTGGATAGCTCATTTTTCAGTGCTGTTAAACATTCCATTGTCTGGATGAAGCACAGTTTATCCACTCACCTACTGAAAGACATCTTGATTGCTTCCAAGTTTTGGAAATTATGAATAAAACTGCTATAAACATCCATGTGCAGGTTTTTGTGTGGAAATAAGCTTTCAACTCATTTGGATAAATACCAAGGAACACAACTGCTGGACTGTATGGTTAGAGTGTGTTTGGTTTTGTAAGAAACTGCCAAACTACCTTTCAAAGTGGATATTCCATTTTGCATTCCCATGAGCAATGAATGAGAATTCCTGTTGCTCCACATCCTCACCAGCATTTGCTGTTGTCAATGTTTTGAACTTTGGCCATTCTAATAGACGTGTAGTGGTATTTCACTGTTGTTTTAATTTGCAGTTCCCTAATGACTTATGATGTTGAACATCTTTTTATATGCTTACTTGCCAAGCTGCATACTGTCTTCTCTGGTAAGGTGTCTCTTAGGTCTTTTGCCCATTTTTCAATCAGATTGTTTGTTTTCATATGTTTTTAGAATTTTTTGTATATTTTGGAAAACAGTTTTTTAAAATCATTTATGTCTTTTGCAAATATTTCCTCCCAGCCTGTGGCTTATCTTTTCATTATGTTGACATTATCTTTTGCAGAGCAGTCTTTAATTGTAATAAATTCACCTTATTAAGTTTTACTTTCATGGATTGTGCCTTTGGTATTGCATCTAAAAAGTCACTGCCACACTTAGGGTCATCTAGACTTTCTCATATGCTATCTTCTAGGAATTTTATAGTTTTGTGTTACAGTTAGGAACGTGATCCATTTTTTAGTTCATTTTAGTGAAGGGTCTGTATCTAAATTCTTTTTTTTTTTTTTTTTGGCATGTGAATGCCCAGTTACCCTGGCACCATTTGTTGAAAAGTCTACCTTTTCTCCTTTGTATTGCCTTTGTTCCTTTGTCAAAGATCAGCTGACTATATTTATGTGAGTCTATTTCTGGGCTATCCATTCTGTTCTTTTGATCAACTTGTCTATTTCTTCACTAATACCACACTGTCTTACTTACTGTTGCTTTATAGTAAGTCTTGAAGTTGGGTAGTGTCAATCCTTTTTCTTCTCCTTCAATATTGAGTTGACCATTCTGTGCCTTTTGCCTTTCAGTCTAAACTTTAAAAGCATATGGTGATATCCACAAAATAAACTGCTTGAATTTTTATTGGGATTGTGTTGACTCTATACATCAAGTTGGGAGAACTGACATCTTGACAATATTGAGTTTTCTTATCTCTGAATATGAAATACATCTCCATTTATTAAGTATTTTTTAAAATATGTTTCATCAAAATTTTATGGTTTTCTTCATATAGATCATGCACATATTTTGTTTGAATTATACTTAAGTATTCCATTTTGGGGTATGCTAATGTCAATAGTAACGTGTTTTTAATTTCAAATTCCACTTGTCCAGTTATTGCAGGTTTATAGGAAAGGGGCTGACTTTGTATATTAACTTTGTATCCTGCACCCTTACTACAATTACTTAATATTTCTAGGAGTTTTTGTTATTGTTGTCAATTGTTTCAGATTTTTCACATAGGCAATTATGTCATCTGTGAACAAAGGCAGTTTTATTTTTTCCTCCTTCCCAATCTGTATTCCTTTAATTTCCTTTTTTTGCCTTGTTGAATTAGCTTGGACTTCCAGCACAATTTTGAAAAGGAATGATGAAAGAAGCCATCTTTGCCATGTTTCTGATCTTAGAAGAAATGATTCAGGATTCTCACCATTAAATATGTTAGCTATAGGTTTTTCTGTAAGTGTTCTTTATCAAGTTGAGGAAGTTGATCTCTATTCCTAGTTTGCTGAGAGTTTGTATCAGAAATTTGTGTTGTATTTTGTTAGATATTTTTCTGCATCTTTTGATATGGCTATATAATTTTTCTTTAGCTTTTTGATTTTCAAATGTTGAACCAGCCTTGAATACCTGGGATCAATCTCATTTGGTTATCAATTTATACATATTTTCGGATTCAATTTGTTAATATTTTTTGACAAGTTTTGCATCTATGCTCCTGAGAGATATGGGTCTGTCTGGTTTTTATATTAGGTTAATACTGGCATCATGAAATGGGTTAGGAAGCATTTACTCTGCTTCTATATGCTCAAAGTGAGTGTAAATAATTGGCATAATTTCTTCGTTAAATATTTGGTAGAATTCACTGGTAAACCCATCTGGGCCTGATGCTTTCTGTTGTGAGAGGTCATTAGAAAGAGGTTTATTCAGATTGTCTATTTCTTCTTATGTGAGTTTTGGTAGATTGTGTCTTTCAAAGAATTTGTCTATTTCATATGGATTATCAACTTTGTGAGCATAGGGTATTCATAAAGTTCCTTTCTTATACTTTTATTGTTCTTGAAATCTATAGTGATATCCCCTCTTTCATTTCTAATATTAGTAATTCATGTTTTCTTTTTCTTTTAGCCTGGCTACAGGCTTATCAATTTTATTGTTTTTTTTCAAA